GCTCCAGGGGTTGTTTCCACAATGAGAAAGCTTCCTCCTTTGCCCCTTGTCCCTTCCTATTATAGCTATGGACGGTGGGTGCTATTTAACCTATTGGCACGGTCATGTCACTGTCCGTGTAAATCTGTCATTCCGCTGTGAGCCTCAGATGGGCCATGATGTACATAAAGCTGGGGAGAAGGGGGCGCCCCCACGTCAGTGCCTGCCCAGCTGTGTTCTGTCTCCCCGAAGTCTCTGCACCAGGGGCACCAGGTGTTCATCACTGTAACCTGCCTCAGCCCCAGCCCCGCATTCTGAGCTGTTTCCCTGCTCCATTCGGTTTCTTGTCCTCATCACTACTCACTCCTAACTTCACTCACACCCTGCTTATTAATTATGATTCTCTATCTCCCAGTAAAAATATAGACTTATTATATTTCTGATGTACCCAAGAGTGAGAACAGGGCCAGACATGTACTAGGTTCCCTGTATATTTACATCTAATGAAACATGAATTAATAAGCTTTTTCTTACTCACAAATTAAATAAAAAACTAAATGCAATGCCCTTATTTTTTCCCAATTCCAAACCTCCAGGACTCTGAGATGTTTAACGTGTCACCCACCTGCCACCCGCAGCTCCATGCTGGCTTCCTCATAGACGTCTCCGTCTCTGAAGCTGCAGGTGTACAGCCCGTTGTCGGCAGCCTGGACCTTGTGGATGCGCACAGCAGCTTTCCCCTCACTGAGGGATCCCCCCACCAGTGAGGTCCGCCCTGAGTACTGGGCCATCTGCTCCTTACTCCTCTCCTGCCGGTCTTGATAGGTGAACACTGACTCCCAGATATGGGACCGGAACCACCTCACCTCCATGTCCTCTGCACTCATGGCTGGGTACAGGGAGCAGGACAGTGTGGCGTCCTCCCCCAGTTCTGCCACAATGGGGTCAGGGGGGGCAATCACCCAGAACGGATCTGTGGACGCAGACGGGAGTTAGGGAGGTCACGGTGCTCACACCCGGAGCGAGGACCACATCGCCTGGGTGGGGAAAGTCCAGGCCAGTGTCGTATGAGAGGACAGCTGGCCTGGGGCACTGAGCAGTGACAGCTGTGATCCCCGCAATCACCATCCAGCCAAAACTCCAGAAATGAAAATTCTCCCTCATTCACTGGTACATCTGACAGCAGGACCTTCCAGACACTCTAACTCCATGGTTCTCTCCTTCAGGGTCAGTCACCAAGAGGCCTTGTCATGTAAAATGTGGGGATCCTACCCCAGGTCTGATGAGCAGGTTGAGATGCACCCAAGAACATGCATTTGAGAGAAGTTCCTGGGCGACTTACATGTTTGATACACAAAATACATAACGTCATTGCCCAGAGGACCACCACTGTTAGTGAGTGGAGCAGGGCGCCCAGGGAATACCAGGCTGGCAGCGAATATGAGCTTGGTCTCTGACAGTCACCAGGCTGACAGCTCCCACAGGGACACGGAGGAGGTCACACTTCACCGAACAAGTGTTAGGCAGAGAGACAGGGAAGACCCTGTCAGCTTGGGGAGCCATGTCAGGGTGGAGGAGGCCGTGTCAGATTGGGGAGGCTGTGTCAGGATTGGGGAGGCCGTGTCAGGGTGGGGGAGGCCCTGTCAGGTTGGGGGAGGCCATGTCAGGATTGGGAATGCTGTGTCAGGGTCGGGGAGGTCATATCAGGTTAGGGGAGGATCAGCACACCCTGTGGTGGGCCCCTCTAGCGGCACCTGAGTCTCGGCAGGGGGAGCTGACAGTGGGGAGCTCACACCTCTGACTGGTCCCAGCTAACAGGCCCCCAGTGAAGAAACAGGCACACAGCAGGGTTCCCCCCATAGACACCCTCAGGCCTGCCCTGCCCTCCTGAGCTCAGGGCCATGTGCACTTGACACTCGCAGCGGGACTGCGAGAGGCGGTGTCAGGGCCACACACAAGCTCACACCCCAGCCAGGGTGCCCGCACCGGAGGCCAGATGCCTGCAGCACCCAGTCTCTACTCAGCGTCTCAGTATCAGGGTGCTAGACCCACACGGGTCACAGACCTAAACACAGGAAGCTAAGGGTCACGTGATGGCAAGTTACAAGGAGTTCAACTCTATGAGTTACCACTACAGATGCTTATTTTCAAAAACAGAAAGTTGAAAGCAGCAAAATAAGCCCCAGAAACATGCTCTGAGGCAGACGGAGACCTCAAGGGCACCTGGCACCACAGGAGAGAACAGCTCTGCTCTACAAGGCCCCAGAGACTGCAAGACCGTGACTTCATCAAGTGCAGTTCAACACGGCTGCAATATGGAAAGGCAAAGAGATGGAGAAAACATGGAAACGTGAATAAATGAATGTCTTAGAGATAAAATCAGCAAGAGGAAATTGAAATTGAAGCCTAAAGTTAAAAACACAGAGAAGGAGGCTGTAAAGCCATCAACAGAGACGCTGCTCCCTCCTGGGGAAGCCACTGGAGCAGAACAGACCAGAGGGGAGATCAGGTCAGAGACCTCACAGCATAATGCACAGAGACTCAAGAGGAAGAAAAATGAAAACGTCAGCAACTACGAACTCCACGAGGAAGGAGGGTAAAGACAATGCTGTTCCCCAGTTTGGAGAGAGACA